TAGTAGTAGTAGTAGTAGTAGTAGTAGTAGTAGTAGTAGTAGTAGTAGTAGTAGTAGTAGTAGTAGTAGTAGTAGTAGTAGTAGTAGTAGTAGTAGTAGTAGTAGTAGTAGTAGTAGTAGTAGTAGTAGTAGTAGTAGTAGTAGTAGTAGTAGTAGTAGTAGTAGTATTAGTAATGGGTAATGGAAACTGTATAGGAGAATTTAAAGCTTTGGTGATACAATGATGCCTTTTAATCGGCATGATAAATAAGCTCAATTATCTAGTCATCCGGATGAAGGATATCCAAGAATGGATTCTTTCGTGGCAATGTTACTTTTGTTTTTGCTGCTGTCATCGATGATACAGTCATATCCACTTAAAAAATGAGAACTAATTTTTTTTTTTAAAATCACAAACAATCATCTCATTTTGAATCCTTTGAACGATAAGCACAAGTATCAATCATTCATTCTACTAAGTTCAATTGAAATTTCATCCTTGATTTTAATAGTTTTCCTCAAAAGACTGCTAGACGATATTTGTAGAATATAATAATATCACTGCTAATACATTTTAATTAACCGAATTAAAATTGTTTAAGATTAAAGTTAAGTCATATAAAGGTCGTAATAATTCTCCTTTTTACCTCTCACTACCAATTATGAATTACATAAACGGGAAACTAACCATAAATAGTGCAGTTTAGCCATTCATCCAATTTAATTTGCTTATTTCCATCTCGATCACAAAAGCGCAAAAAATTTCGCCCACATTTTCGTACTTTATTCAACAAACGTAATTCATTTCGGTATAATTTCCATTCCTTTCGTTCCAGTTGCTAAAATATTTAATTTCTTTGTTTTTAAAAGAGAATGTGATAGAGCGATTGGAAGTAATAATTTCCCTAAGATAATAAAAGGAATTAAATTATTAATCTCCCCTCTCTCACAGCATAGACAATCAATGATTAGTATATATGTTATATATTTATACCAGGAGTATTTATCACTGGCTGATAATAGAGACAAACCGAGTTGTTGTTGACATCAAGTTGTTCGAATTTCCACCGAACAGCTTTATCCTTGCTTGTGATAGCATCATCATTTGCCTCATCACCCAAGGCCAAAATCCATTCACTAATCAGTGAAGAAAATAATCGCTGATAAAATTTGGTTTTTTTCCTACCCGAACAACCTGTAATTCAGATGCTGTCATGATATTTATAATCATAATCTATACATTTTCTTATCTAATGATAGGGACATTGCATCACTTTGATCTAGAATGATCAAACAGATATGATTATCATACTAATTATGTCAGAAATCGGAAAACTGTTTTAATTTAAATTCTTAAAAACTTATTCCAACCTTTAATTTGTCTCCTAGAAATATCATCCCGTTGAAGTCTTCCATCACAGTTTGGCTTAACGTTATATTTGGATGTACCGGATTGTGGGATACCCGTTTCCGGATTTACACACCAACAAATATGTGACAAACGGTGACATTGAATTCGGTCAAATAGTCTGCAAAAGAGAAGTTCAGCAAAGAATGAAAAGGGAAAAAAAGATTGAAAAAATGAACTGTTAAATTACTATTGGGAATTGTGAAATAGAAAAAGTGGCTTTCGCTGTCACGACTACTATTTCAAATAGGAAAGGAAACTGGAGATCTTTTTTATAATATCTGATATTTCACAAATGGATCAAACGAAACTATCTTAAGACCAAGTTTGAAAGGCGGTCTTCTCCGACATATTACTGGATGGAAGGCTCCCTAGTTATAAACTTATCAACTCTTCTGGTGGCAAATGACCTTACTTAAATGACACTCTTATATCATTTAATGCTCTTATCATGAAGGAACTTACATATCACCGTCACCAGCACAGGTAGGTATATAATTTCCATTTTCCGGATTATTCTCTAACTTTCTCATTGCTCGTTCTCGTTGTGTACGACAATCTGCTTTTCCTGCATTTGCTGAATTTTTACTCTTTTGGCGACAACAACAAGAGAAAAAACGGTAATTGACATTTAATGACAAAAAAGGCTGAATCCATAGTATCTTTTCGAAAAGTCGTTAGATTTTATTATCAGTGCTATCGATAAGGTGAAGAGAGTATTGATAATATAATCAAAGCGTTCTTTTTTTATTGGAAAAAATTTCAATTCAACTCAGGGCTTAAGCCTTAATATCGTAAATGTTTTTAGACCTTAAAAGTAGAAGTGATGAGTCGTAAAGTTCAAACAATATTATATTAAAGAGGTCAATGCCATCTATTTGCTTTGAGAAGCTCTTCAGTCGCAGCTGGTTGAATGTAAAATAGTTTTAACACAGAAAAACGATAAATGCGCCTTACCAAAAGTGTCCTCTTTTGCATCATTTCGTTCCTCCTCATCTTCTTCACGCTTTAATTCGGTTTCATTTTTCTGTCTACTATCAACAATTGGCATACCAACGATACTTCCCGCATGTACGATACCTAAACAAAAAAGTAATTCTAACATTTGCAATTCATCACTGCTTCAATTAAGATTAGCTGATAATTAGCTAGGATTAATTTCACCAATTGCCTGTCGCAAAGCAAAAAAAAAGCTTATTAAGCTGTTTGACATCAAAACCAGATTAGTGCACTAATTCATTGGCGCTTTAATTAGTTTAAGGTCGACCTAAAATAACTTCCAATCTAAACATTAAATCAATTTGAATTGATACATTATTCAGTAAAGGGTTTTCAAAAAAAGGAGAGAAAAAAAGAAATAAATATGCATTGGTTGACTGTTAATTGAAAATACTTTTAAGCTTTGCGCATAATCAGTTTTACTGAGAAATAAAGAGTTGAAGGAAGCTGTAATTATGTTACAGATGGTGAAAGCTAATTGAATGATAAGATAATAATGGCGTGATATATGTTTCAGCCTTCTCAGCTTGTACATCTCAATGTGACACTGTCTCTCTTTCATTTCTTCCTTTTCTTCTGTCAGACATTGAACTTATGAAATGAATCGAAATTCAAATTTAATAAAATAATTGGAGAAATGATTCAATTTCCAATAGGCAAATATAGCAAAGTAATTTAAAGAGAAGTTCTACTGAAGAAGAAGGAACCACCAAATAGTCCATTCTGCTGCTTCGAACCGTCGCGATTGTTCGGTGACAAAGCGAAATGATAGCGGGCATCGTTGAAGCTCAATAAATAGTTGAACAGCAGCACTGTTACCCAACCATTATCTCTCAAGGGATGCGTCATCTCTTAAGTAGTAACCAACAAAAGTAGCCGCAAATAATAGCTATAGAAGCTGATAGCAGTGGTCATTGTAGTAAACATACAGCAAACGTGATGGGTATAAATAAATAACAGAATCATCGCCAAAAGCGCCTCTAATATTCAGCGATTACGGTTGACGCAGCAACGGAAATTGGAATGATAAAATTCAGAGACCGATGAACAGAATTCTCCTCTTGAAATGATGACGGATGACATGGTTGTATATAAAGTTGACACGTGTCACACCAAGGATGGATGGAAGAGCATAATTGAAGGTTCAACGTGGGAATATAGCGACACCATCGAAGAGAACGAATAAACTAATTGACATATGATTATTGGACAGAAAAAGTTGACAGAGTGAGTAATGAAAATATTGCAGAATTGGCTTAAACGTAAATAATAAATAGTTGATGATAGGTGGATATGGGAAAGAAAAGAAATAAGAATTATGAGAAAGTACTGATAAAAATATGCAAGTGATAAGAGAGAAGAAAAAGTAAACTGCATAGATTCTTAAGTAAAAAGTGGATAATCAGTGAATTGAACATTCTGTGCTACACTTGATAAGATGTTAAGTGACCTGTAAAATCAGGCAGAGCTGTAGTTGAATGAATATTTTAATTCTAGTTATCATCAAGTTGCGCTTAATTTATTGTCTAATTACAATAAAAGAAAAATCTGGAACACAACGGTCATCAGATGTTCAAGATAGGCTCTGAAAGGAGTAATTAAATAAAATGGATAAGCCAAATATTCTCATATATATTGATCTAAACTGTATCTTCGAACTAAGATTAAAATTGAACGAAAAAAAAATTGATATATGAAAATGAAATAGACGTTTTGTATTTCCGGAAACGTGAAATATAAGATAGATTGTTGAAAATGAACAAGAAAAAGAAGTGGCTGAAGTAGGAAGCTTCATTAACATTGTTTACTCAATGATTTGAGGAAAACAGTGATGAAGAAAAGATTGTGGATGATGAGAAGAAGGGATACGAACAGTTTCTACCAAACTAATTTTTCAAATAATGTAAATATATTTTGGAGAAAAAAAAAGGCGAACAAACTGATGGCACTTGGAAAATTATTTGATGTCCTAATAATTTATTCAAATTCAGATTTATTTAAATTTCAATTTGTATCACAACTGTATTTTACCTAAAAATTACTGGTTCGATTATTATGTTAAAATGCTTATGATTGCATAAGACAATTGTCGAAATCACACAGAGTTCGTAGGTTCAAAGGTTAAACTTTACAAGGTCTAGATTCCTTGGTCTAAATTTGCATGTCCTAGACTGCAGTGAAATAAGTAAATAACTAAGACAAACAGGGATATCATTAAAACTTAGCTATTCATAAAAATTTAGCTAATAGTTCCAGACAAATCATATCCTCGAGTTTCATGAACACAGTGTAGTATTTACACTTCTTTCCTTAATATGTTAGAGATCAAATGATGGATAATTTGGCAGCTAATGGGATAATATTGAAACTCTCAACATCTGAATCAGAAATGGCAACAAGAAACTGATTTTTACCATCATCTCGAACTGATATGTTAACAGTTGATTCAGATAGGTTAATAAAAAACAAACAAGGATAGCAGGAGTGATGGTTGATGGCAAATTAACAATGATAATAATTATCATAGTAATGATGGAAATAATGATAATGATAGCAATGGTACATATTATAATGAGATGCTGATGGCAGTGATACGGGAAGTGATGAATTATAACAATAGAAAAAGATGGCAATAGAAAATAAGAAAAAAAGTGATGACAGAAAATATTTGCATGATATAAAAATTCTTCGACGATACGATCTGCTGATATGAATAATATTATTGCATTTTGTGAAGGAAGAGAAGGACTTCTCATGATGAGCTTGACGAGATGAACTTATAATAACTATTCGACTAATAAGATCAAAGATCAAGACAAATCATATAAATGAACAGTTTCAGATAAGTGCACAGAAATACACATTTGCGACAGTCGCAGAAGTAAAATCTGTTTGTTTTTCAAGGGTGTGACATAGCTGTACTTCTTGGGCGAATCTGTCGCTGTCTCCTCCCTCTACATAAACTTCTTCATAAACATATGGTATATATAAATAAAAGTTGAAGTTAAAAGTCTGTACCAATGATATATGAGGTGTGGTACGTCTGGTGCATTTCTTTGAGAGAGAGAAAATGGATCTAAGAAATTGAGGTGAAAGAAAATTGGAGGAAGAACTGACAAAGGTGTAAGGGTGTAAGGACAAATTGGAATGAGAGAGGAGGAAGAGAGAGAGGATTGGCAAGATTACAGTCCGATAAGGCGCAAACGATCCTATCACCTTCTCTCTTAATTTCATCTTGTTTTTCGAACGAGAAAAAAGAAGGGGAAAACTATGATAGTATGATTCGAAAAATTATTCCTATGGGAATCATTTAATAAGAGTAAGAAGTTCAATTCAAATGGGTCATTCCCGAACGAAATAATTCAAAGTGAATTTTGGAATGCAATTGAATGTTTGCATTGTGATTATCTTCCATGTGTTGTCAAATTGCTGTCTCTAATTAAATTAATTAAGTTATTAAAGTAAATGAAAAAAAAGTGAATAAGCTAAAGCAATTATAATTGAAAAATTTTCTTTTTACAACTTCCCTTTATTAGAAAAAAATCTCCAAAAAGTTAAAAGTTATAAAGACCACGTAATGAAATGATTAAATTTAGTATAGTAATTCTTCAATATTATTCGAATACACGGGGGGGAGGGAGAGTGAGAGAAAAAAGTTCCATTCAATATGGTTATCGAAAGTATGACCTCTGAATTTGACCTCTAAAAATGGTAACCAAAAAAAGTGATGCTATTTGTAGAGCAATCATCTGTCTCTCATTCGTTTTTAGGACAAATTAGGTTGTTCACCCTGCATTTTCTGTATCTTTATTGACTGCTGTTGTTGTCCCTTATGATAACCATCATTAAGTACCGTCGAGATGTTGCTGTTGTTGTTGTTGTTGTTGTTGCTGTTATTGTTATTGTTGTTGTTGTTGTTGCTGTTAGTAATGGATGAATTAGGACGAAGAGCGTTAAACATGTTATATGATGCTGCAAAATTACTGCAACGTTAGTCAAAAAAAAATTAATTAATTGAAAAAATAGCTATTCATTAACTTCACAACAGTTGTTTATATTAGTATTTGATAGCATACACTTAAAAAAAAAACAAATATTAAAATTTGCAAAACTGAAATTTCAAATTTTGCATTAGAAGTTTTTGCGCGACAGTTAATTCCAAGCAGTTAAGTGCCTTGTAAACGGAATTGAAACAAAAGTGAGAACAGGTAGGTATTCCTATATGCTAGGACTTCAAGGAAAGCACGAACTTAGGAACTTTAATTTCAACTGTAACCCTTCCTCAATTACTGACATTTAACTTTCGACCTAAGGTCATCCGTTTCCTTGTCCTCACATTCGTCATCACCACAAACCATTGCATACCAAAAGCGAAACTTAAATTTAAAATAAAGCGAACAAAAAACACCGATTGTTTTAAAATAATAATTACCGCTTATGAAATATGGCGCATATTCTGAAAAAGGTATGGAAAGTGAGAAATTATTCAATTTTCCTCTTAAAATAATTAATTTTTAAGTTTAATAAATCTTGAAAATCGAAAAAACATCCAAACTTTGGTGCCAATTTCCACGATCAAATACCTTATAAGCTTCTTTTCTTATCACTCAATTTTTTATCAATCAATAACGGAAAATTCAGCTGCTCTTTTCATCTAATAGCGCTACTGGACAGACACCATATCTTCTTGAAACAGATTTCCTTCATCGAAATAATATAAATATTCGTTCACTATAGCTATTTTTACCATTGAAAAAGAAAAATTCAGGAGGAATGAACTTACTGGAAATATCAATACCTAAACAGGTGACCCATTCACGAGCACTTATTTCACCATCCTTATTTAAATCACAATATTTCGTAAACTTTTTTGCACACATTTTGGGTGTAACATGCTTCCTAAAGTGTACAAATGGTATCAATTATTATCAGTTTATCAAGAATTTAGACAAGGATTTCCCGCATTTATGCATAAAAAATTCTATATTTACCAATTATAGCTATAAATGTTGCCAAAGTGCGATGAAAATACTTTTATTAATATTAGAATTTGAGAAATTTTCGTATCATTAATTCAATGTGGTAAATCACTCATAATCTGATTTCGAATTCCGATATATCTCATAGCAATGATTTAGCATCAAACTATCAAGAAGAGATCTTTGTTTAAATGCTTTTGGGATAAGACAAATAAATCAAGCAAGATGTTAGATGAATAATGTTTAAAATGAAAAGTTATACCGGACGAGACGGCGCAGACCACCGAATTCTCTCGAACTTAATCGGCTGTTCTTATCATTATCAAGCTGACCAAATTTCCATAACAATATCTTTTTATCGAATAATTGCATTGCTCCATTTGTATATAAAAATCAATAATAATGTAAATGAATTAATCATAAAATGTATTGTTTGTCAATTATTCATTGTCTCTAATAACTATTAATTGTTTCTAAACATCTCCGTTAATTACACTCATAAATTTCTAAACTAAGAAAAAGAGTCAAATGATTGAATGCAGAAATCTAACAATTGAATTTAATATTGAAACTTGAAATGTTAAGTTTTGATATAAAAAGAAATAAAGAAACGAAGCGAACTTGCAGCTCAGTAATTTTTTAATTTTTAATTAACGATATTAAAAGAGCGGAAAAAAAAGCAATCTTCATCAACTTACTATGGAAAAATTGCTCGCTGCGTTCGTATTCCTTTTTAAAAATACTCATTAAATTAGCATTGAATGTTGATCGATCGACTGTCGAACATACTGTAAAAATTATAATATTTATATCTATTGCCATTAAGTTGTAGTACCAAAATGCGAGATAGGGAGAAGTAATGAGCAGATTGACCTTTCTGAGGTCATTTAAGAAGATAGTTAAAGTTAAGATGAATAAATTCTTCTGAACCATTTAAAGAAAATGCAATGCACGAGTTGCTTTCTGTACGGAGGAAAGTTCACTCAATCAGTTTTACTACGAAAATATTTTACAGTTCATGAATCATACCATTTGAGGATACCGCATCACCATTACTTTTTCTATGCGAACGTCGTCCAATTTTCGTCTCTGCAATCATTATTAAGGATGTTTTCTTGGTACTTATCATTCTTCCATAACTTTCTTTTACTTACTTACTCACTTACTTATTTACCCACCTACTTGCTAACTTTTACTTACTTACTTACTTACCTATTACTTACTTACTTGCCTGCCAAATAATTTACTTCCTGCGTCATAAAGACCTCTTATGAAAACAGGCAATACACTTGACCATGGCTAATCATTAAAAAGTCTATGTTATTATCTTCTAATCCAAAATTTACTTCTTAATAACTCCACAGAAGAAACCTATTTAAATACATTTAACAAAGCGTACTTTGTAAAATATGACAATTCGGAATGCCGTATCGTTTAGATGTGCTTGGTAACGGTCGTCCGATCCGCGTCACACACCAACAATAACCTGTACTTCTGTGACACTGTAATATCTACTATATTTTATGATACTAACCACTACAAAAAAATGATCTTGGAAAATACGTATAACTTTCTATCGGTCCAAAGAAAGGGCATGAAAGAGGATGTATTACTTACCGTAATCAAAGATTACGTAAATAAGAATGACGAGTTTTACTCTCCAAAGGTCAGATAATGATAAAAGGTTGATAACGGAACCAATGGTTAATTAATTTTACTTTTATTTAATAAGTATGAACAAACCTGTATGGTGGCATACGAACCATCGGTAGCGTTACATTCTGGTACGTAAACATCGCTACTGTTCATTTTTTCCCCTGCTAGTTTCAACTGATAAGCTCGTTCCAGTTGACATCGCAAATTTTCTACAACAATTTTCCTGATCCATGTGATCATTTTCCTGATCCATGTGGTCATCAGAAGTTCTTTTAAACTCATTTTCACGAAATCGTACATTTTTATTACTTTACATTTTCCTATTCGACGATTATTTCACGGAAGTATCAATTTTGCGATAGCATTAGATTTAAAATCCATTGTATTACTTATCTTGATCTTTGAACGTCAGCTTTTAATCACCAATATTGAAAACTGAGGAAGTTAAGAAAGGGATATACCAGGACAAGGTCCCGAGAACTGTTTTTTGACCGGATTGCCATGACATATGGCGCGTTTTACTTCACAATATGAGTTATAGGTCTTCCCATCGCTACCACAAATCGGTTCGACGTTCATTTCTTCGTAATTGCACAATTTTTGCATAAAGCACTCCTCTTCTCCTTGCTAAATATTTTTGCAAAAATAAAATAAGTAAGCTTAACGGAATGTTTTTTTTTCTTTTTGTTTCAATAAACAAAATTAAAAATGTCATTTCACACTTGTCATTAAAAGGTTAATCAATGAATTTAATTATGCATAATTCGTTGAATGTTCAAATTTGCTACTCAATTTGACGATTGCTATTTGATTTTTGAGCATTTCCGTTATTTCTTCAATTTTTCTCTCCCTCCTTTTTCCTTCTGTATAATTTTTGAAAGATATATCATCTTTCATTTCTCGTCTTCTCTGGTTGGTTAACTTATCACTGAATATCATCGAAAAACGATAAGTTTTAAAAATCATTTAAATTCTTTCTCTCATTATTGAAGTATTTGCTGAAAATCTTTTAAAATTTCGATTTTTTGGCAGGATGTTCAGGAATATGCAAAAAATTTCAAGGATATAACTGTAAGGAATAGATGAACTGCTCATGAATCCACGTGAGACACACGTCATATGCGTTAAGTGGATGGTTGTAAGTAGCAAGCAAGTATCAGATAAAAGATTGAGAGCAAATAACATCATTTACCCATTGAGAATTTGAAAGTAGAACGGACACAATGACACATCTAATGTCACGTGATACGTGAAACACGTTAGTTGGTGGCGGAAAATTACAGATTGTACAGATCTATTTCATCGATTATAGAATGTGAGAAACAAGCTGTGAGCAGTGAAAATAATCTGTGACAAATTATCTAGGTTTCATACCTTGGACTGCTACTGTAAACCTTGAAGTTCCACTTTAAGGATATGATTTACAGCACATTATAATTTGTTTCAGGTGTTATATTTATGACGTCATTAGCAGAAAAAGGTGTTATATTTATGACGTCATTAGCAGAAAACTTACAGATCGCTGGCTTTTAAGTTGAGCAATTGTAGTGAATGCGAATGCATTTGTGCGGGTACTATCCAAGCCAATGAGGAAATGGATAAGTAATAGGCAGATTGACATTGTTTGGGAATGATTCTTAGCCCAACAGGCTAACCAACCCAGCATGCAACGATTCCGGATGCTGCTTCGTTGATAGCGCTTCCTTTCATTATCACTGAATCAAAACATACAGATAAAGAGAAAATAACAGAACCTGAAATTGTTACTGATTTATGGAGGCGGAGAAACGGAATATCATTAAGTGATATATGGCATTATTTAGACCAGTTAGGATTCTTCTTGACAAGTGCAAGTAATTATCCGAGAATCGTTGAAACGGAATACTGGAGCCAGAAACTGCTTAATCACTACCGTATGCAAATGACAGATCAAAGAAGCGCTAAGAGATTATCGGTCATTTGAACAATTGTCACTTAATTGAATGCTTATCGCCTTTTCAATAACAATATCCATGAAAAGCTTTCCTCTTGATTATTCAGATTTACTGATTCTTTCAAAATCATTTTCAAAATAAAAAAGGAAAGCAGAAGAATCTCATTCAGTTCGACCATTTCTCTATTTGAATTAAATGCAAGAGGGTGGAGGAAATAATGAAAGTACAGACTCTGTCGGTAAATCATTTTAAAAAATGAATAAAATTTTTTTGGCAATAAATTTACATTTCAATAAAATTGTCTCATTGGTACTAGCTTGTACCTTCCAGTTTACTTTCACTCCCCATATATATTGTACTGCATAATTTGGATATATCAAATAGAAATATAAAAATAAATGAAGTACATATATATATATATATATATATATCAGATATACATGTATCACTGTATACTATACATATCACATATGTAATGTATATTATATGCATTACACATATCATATATGCCATATTCAAACATATATTTTATATATGAATAATAAGTATTATAAGTAACAAATATTTGTATATTATGTAAAACTTTGTATATCAAATGTGTAATCAATTGGTATCATAAAGCGCTTTTGGTATCATAAGTAAAGGCGCTTTTGGTACCATAAGTAAGGGCGCTTTTAGTATCATAAGTGCACAGTAACAAAATTTCAGTCTTGGTATAAATTTTGGTTTCTTCGTAATAAATTTGAGAGGAAAAATAGGAAATAAAGGAATTATCGTCTAATAACTAAATCCGATAATAGAGGCAGCTGTTTAAAGTTAGTGAGTATATGTCAAGGTAGCTGAAATATTCGATATAAGAATTTCTTATTTAATTAATTACTGAAATGGTAAAACAAAAAATTATCAAGTTTTTGTGTTCAAATTTTGAAGAAATTGAGTGGTGATTAAAAAATATAGTGGCGGTACATTGATTTAATTTTACTATCTAATCAAACTTGTCTTTAAGTCATTCCGGTATCTTCTAGGTGCGTTTGTTTCTTTCATATTAGTAAAGGTCATGAAATCGATAAGTAATCCATTGCATTTTCAAGTGACCAGTCCAGATCGATTACGAAGAAATCAGGTGAAACGAAGCAAAAAATTTTTCCGAAGCTTCTCATGTAGAAATGAGAGCACTTCCTGGATACCATTTAAAATAATAAAGCGAAAACTTCTATTTATCCTGATGTTTTGGTAATTCGGTTGTGAGAATTTTGATGATTCGTCCGACGATACCATTAGGACTAAGTGGCCTAAGTATAGATTTAAAAATACATACACACATGTGACAGAAACATTTTGAGGATTCAAAATGACGAAAAAACAAACATTAAAGGAATTCAAATGAAAGTAAAAATTTTAAAAATAATTCATTTCTATTATTAGAAATGAAAAATTCGAAAAGACCTAAATAAACTGTAAAAGGAATTAACAGAACTGTGGACATATTTAGAAAATGAAGAAAAGCTAAATGAAAGAGGCAGAAAAATGTTAAAATGTGTCAGAGTAAGAAACCAATCAACAAAATGCGCAATGATTGATTTCTTACAACATTGCTAATAGAAGGAAAAAATAAAATAAAAATTTTAAAAAAGTTGAAAATAATTCTAACACTTTCCTAGAACTTTTGTAATATCTTGCAATAAATATAGTGCACATCTTCATACATGATACTTAAATGATTAATTAATAACAGATTCTATTCAACCACTCACTTCATTTCATTTTTCTCGTCTTATTTTTCATTTTCCGGTTTTCCGAATAAAACTAAATCATCTAATCCATTAATGGAAACTCATGGTAGAAATTCCACAGTGATAAGACATGGAAAGAGCGATTTCAGTATCAGGAACAAATGGCCTTAACTTCAGTGTCGACAAGGCAAAATATACTCCGCTTGTATATCAGCATTTTGCAGAATATTTGCAGAATTCAAATTTCTAAGCAAGATAATTGAGATGACCAAAAATATAAAAAAAGAAAGAAAAGAAGAACGAATAACTTTGAATTTTATTTTAAGCTGAAATGCTGGAAGTACAACTGAAGTTAAACTTTTCTATGCAACGAATATTGCAAATGGATAGTAACAGCTTAGGAACAGTGCGAATTCTCAAGTTAATGTAGGCTAGATGTGACGTACGTGATAAAAACTAAACGGAATCGCTGAGAGATCATTGACAACGATGATATTGATCACGTGTCTCAATAAGATATTCATAGTGCTTTTGTGAATGACTCAAATAAAATTTCGTAAACGTTACTCACGTGATGCTACGCAATATGGCTGATCTTAAGCTGAAAGTGATTATTTAGGCTTTATCCAAACATAGACAAACAAAGCAGTGAATTTAAAAATTTGCATATACCATTTTGTGTTAACAAAATAGAACCACAAAAATGTAGTAAAAATAAAGATTATTTCAAATATAATTTTCGACCAATTTCTTTTATATTTCTTTTGTGGAAAATACGTAAACGACGTTAGTCAAGACGTGTGACATTTGAGAATGGTAACTTTTGCATATCATTCATGAATCGTATCAAAGCGTGATATCATTTCAGGATGAATGAATAAGCTGGCACTTGGCACATTTCAATTCAACTGACACAATTGTTGCTTTGCTACCATTGCAATCTTGAGACGACATTATGACTCACTGCATTGACGTATGAAGTATATGTCAGATTTTTGCAAATCATGAAGTTTCGACTCAACAAAGTCTGAACTCGAAAAGCCGTAATGAGACATTGGGTGACAGTAAGTGAAGTTAACTGTACATTCATAAATTTTCCACTTTGGCTAGTCATTCTAGTTTCTGGTCAGAAAGAATCAAGAAATTCCAAATTTTCTTTTCATTGTTCTTAGGGGGAAAGTCTCTGTTGAAATAATCGCAAAAAGTTCCAGATATTGTAATAAGAACAGAGCTAAACAATCGTTACCACTTATTTGAAGCATCAAATGAAGTCAACCAATTTCAAATCCACACAAATATTCGAATCGTATTGTGAAACTAAACCTATTACCCTTTGACCTACTTTCTCATTTCTGTTAGTAAATAACAAATTTTCCCTTCATTCCACAGTATTTTGCCCCATCTATTGCTGATACTAAATAACATATTTTCTTTCTCCATTATCAAGACTATTATCACTGTCAGCTAAAGTATAGTTAGCTGTGATGACCCTTCACCCCTCCGTCAACCATAACCTGGCCTTTCGATTCTTCTAATAACCTTTCAGTTTACGATGAATCGGATGATTTGAATATAGACGTTGTCGCATACTTTTTATTGGAACCTTTGGATTGATAGAAAGCATGATGATGCAATCATCAAAAACTGGCGCAAACTAGATGAAGGTGATTTAGACCGAAGGCGGGAATGAGATGGGGATTGGTTACCGTGAGATGATTCCTTCCTATATCTCCAACACATGCAATGTTTTTTCGTTCATTCTTTGAAAGGTAATCATCAAATTCTGATGGTTCCTTTGGCCTGTCTGGGACAAGATGGCGCCAGACGGCGCCGATTACCATGTTCATCCAAAACGTATACCCATGATGTTCATGTCATCGACAAACTTATTTTGACTATTTCATGCTTCTTTGTTAATGTACTGATAATGATATATGATGACGAAGAGCCTAAAAGAGAACTTAAGTATAAAAACCGGTGCATGTCTTGCTCAATCTCGGAAATGCCTGAAATCCTGAAAAACGGCCAATAGCCTGATTCCCACATTGTCATCTGTACAGGCACCATTACGTACCAATTCATTTGATTACTGCTCCGGTAGAAACTATAGTTATTATTGAGAACTTCTCGATAGCAAGGAATCAGAAAATAGAAGTGGAATGTTTGCTACAAAAAGCAAAATTAAATTATGGGGAGAGAAGAAGTGCACAGAAGAGTTTTTCATATAAAGGTCAAAAAATTTGTTGACTAATAAAATTGTCGCACAGTTATACCAAAATGGTAATTTAACCAAGCAAAATTGTCTTTGCAAACAAAAGTAATATTGATGGAAATATTTGTTGAAAGCAAATCTTCCCATTTCTGCCTGACTTCTTGACCTTGACAATTTAGCATTTTCTTCTAGAAATGACTGCTCAGTTAACAAATACTTGGTCTACATATTGTGCTTTAAAAATACAGAATGAGGGTAGCATCTTAAGTTATATCATTTGTCATCAACAAATGGATGATAATTATGTTCCAGTTATATTTAGCGATTAAGCAAATGTAAAAGATAGATGTACTAGAAGTTTTTTCGAGAATCTTACGAAGATTTTGTGGCTTGGAATTTTCAGTGCTAAAAAATGGCATTTGTCTTTTGGCCTTTAGATTTTTCCCTTTAAAGTTTATAAAGGCAAATCTCATTTGGTAGTGGAAAAATTATATCAAAAAATAGCTTTAATGCAAACTTTTCTCCGAAAAATATCTTTCAAAATTATATTTTCAATTAAATCTTTTAAAATGAGAACTGTCCTTTTGTTCACGCAGCTATCAGCTTTTTTGAATGAATAATCAAAGAAGATTATATTAAACTAATTATAATTTCAA